AGGCCTGATCACAGACCGGGCCGCGGGAGCGTTGACCCCCGGAACTCTCTCTAGCTGAACTCCAGGTAAACTCCAGTGATTGACAGGAGTGACACTGGTCTGTAGTTGCTGATTTCTGCTCTGCTCTTCTTTTTGTGAACAGGGACTACATTTGCCTCTTTCCACAGAGAGGGCCATATACACTGTACTAAGCAGTGCTGAAAGATGCGAGTTAGAGGTGCTGCTAGCTGGTCTGCACATCTTCTCAGCAATCTTGGGCTCAACTTGTCTGGGCCCATAGCCTTTTCTTGGTCAAAGCGATGTGGCATGCAAAGAGTACGTAACCTTTATTCGGCACATGTACACACCCTCATTGAAAGGCTATCTCCCCCAACCAGCGAACCAGGTGCTAAAGGTTGACGATGGGGCCCCGTCGTTCAATCAGTACCCAGGTTCCAGCCAATGAGAAGATGGTTTTGGCAATCGCAGAGGTTATGTGGGTACCACTCTCCCGTCTGCCCTTGTCATTCTCATTCTAGAGTTGGTTGAAGCACGGTCTGCTCTCTAGTGGCATCTATTCTGCCTTGCTTACCGTGGAGTGCACTAATACCTATTGTTGTACATAGTGTATATACTGTACATACTTCTGTTCTAAATTGATGAAGGATAATATAAGTCAAAAGTTTTTCTGCTGTGTTTATTTTGCTCCCTTTACACCCAGGATAACAGGCCTTTTGGACTCCTGGGTTGTAATAAGCGATTTAAGAAGGAAATGCACCTCTTCCTGCCTAATTGTCAACACTAACAGTTTTGACACAGTTCTTGCAGCTAGCCAAGGAGGGTCCCTTGCTGGATCAGGAACTTGCATTTTGGTAGCAAAGTGTTCGGCAAAGAGGTCCGCCTTCTCTTGAGTAAGTAGAGGTGGTCCCATCCTGTCGATTTAGAGGTGGAATGAGTTCATCAGGCAGATAACCTTGTCTGTCCTTGACCAGGGACCACCAGGTTTTGGAACCTATCCTACCTGATGCTAGCTTTCTTCTTGTGTCCATCTCCCATTTAGCAATGACCCACTTTTGAACGTCACCCATATGCCTACAGGCTTGCCTGTGCAAGTTCCTGCTATATGTGGTTGGATATTTCTGTCTCTTATACCTTCGCCATGCATTGTACTTATCAATAGCAGCTTCTTTACAACGAAAGCCAAACCAAGGCTGCTCTGTAGGCTTTGTCACATATTGCTGGTAAGGAATGTGTTCTTGTTGCAGATTAAGGATGTGTCCAGTGAAGGCTTTCACTTGGTTGTCAACATCCCATTGGAGAAGAGCATTCCAATCGGTGGTGGCGAGCTCAGAGCAAAGGGCTGGCCAATTACCTCTTTCCCATAGTCAGGTTGTGCGTGTGGACTCCTCACCTCGTTCTGTTGGGATCTTAAGTGTCGTAAAAACAGCTTTGTGGTCAGATGATCCAATAACCGAGGAGCTGACAGGTGACTATACCTTCTGCCAGATCACTCACTACTGGGTCAAGGGAGGAGCTAGAGATGTGAGTAGGGAAATCAACAAAGTTTCTCATGTCAAATACTGCAAGAAGGTCATCAAAGTCCCTCTGTATCAGATATTGGTTGAGGTCACCAACAATTATGACATGTTGACAGTTGTGTTGGAGCAGAAGAGAGTCCACATTTTCCATTAGGAAGTCGATGGGGTCTGCATGTTGCCACTGAGGTCTGTACATTGCACATACTAGTACAGAGGTACTAGTGTTTATATTGCCACTGAGGTGTGTACATTGCACATGCTAGTACAGAGGTACTAGTGTTTATACAGAGCTTGAAGAACATCATTTCAAGATGTGTAGGGGTGGCAACATCTATGTGCTGGTCATGTACACTTTTAGAGAAGCACACAGCAACACCTCCTCCTTGCCCTTGCCTGTCTCTTCTCATCCATGAGGTGTAGCCAGCAATTCTTGCAAATTTGTCTGGAATCCTGTCATCCAAAAATGTTTCAACAATAGCTATCGTGTCTCTCTCATCTCTTTCTATCTCTCTGTCTCTCTCTCTGTCTCTCTGTCTATCTCTCTCCTACAAGATGAGGTAGTAGATCAAGACGTGTGTGTGTGTGTGTGTGTGTGTGTGTGTGTGTGTGTGTACCAGTGTTGTATGACACATGACTTGTCACACACACACACACACACCTGGCTGCACATGTGCTCCATATGTACAGTCTATAAGTGAAGTCTCATTTTACAAGAGAAAAATAAGAAAAACTTAAAGATTATTATTATTATTATTATTATTATTATTATTATTATTATTATTATTATTATTAGTAGTAGTAGTAGTAGTAGTAGTAGTAGTAGTAGTAGTGACAGTAGTAGCAGTGGTAGTAACAGTAGACGAGCGGTGATTGGCTGAGTGATCTAGCCTGGGAGTACCTACACGAGCGCTGATTGGTTGAGAAGACTAGAAACAGACGTGACATGTAGACCAGTGTAGTGTGTCAGTGTAGCAGCAGCTGTCAGTGTAGCAGCAGCTGTCAGTGTAGCAGCAGCTGTCAGTGTAGCAGCAGCTGTCAGTGTAACAGTAACTGTCAGCGTAACAGTAGGTGTCAGTGTAGCAGTAGCTGTCAGTGTAGCAGTAACTGTCAGTGTAACAGTAGCTGTCAGTGTAACAGTAGCTGTCAGTGTAACAGCAGCTGTCAGTGTAACAGCAGCTGTCAGTGTAACAGCAGCTGTCAGTGTAACAACAACTGTCAATGTAACAGTAGCTGTCAGTGTAACAGTAGCTGTCAGTGTAACAGCAGCTGTCAGTGTAACAGCAGCTGTCAGTGTAACAGCAGCTGTCAGTGTAACAACAACTGTCAATGTAACAGCAGCTGTCAGTGTAACAGCAACTGTCAGTGTAACAACAACTGTCAATGTAACAGCAGCTGGCAGTGTAACAGCAACTGTCAGTGTAACAGCAACTGTCAGCTTAACAGTAGCTGTCAGTGTAACAGCAGCTGTCAGTGTAACAGCAGCTGTCAGTGTAACAGTAGCTGTCAATGTAACATCAGCTGGCAGTGTAACAGCAACTGTCAGCGTAACAGTGGCTGTCAGTGTAACAGCAACTGTTAGTGTAACAGTAGCTGTCAATGTAACAGCAGCTGGCAGTGTAACAGCAACTGTCAACGTAACAGTAGCTATCAGTGTAACAGCAGCTGATAGTGTAACAGCAACTGTCAGCGTAGCAGTAGCTATCAGTGTAAGAGCAATTGTCAGCGTCACAACAGCTGTCAGTACAATAGCAGCTGTCAGCGTAACAGCTGTCAGTGTAACAGCAACTGCAGTTGTCAGCGTAACAGCAGCTGTCAGCGTAACAGTAGCTGTCAGTGTAAAAGCAGCTGTCTTTGTAACAGCAGTCAGTGAGGTAAGTTGTGTCAGTGTAACAACAGCTGTCAGTATAGCAGCAGCTGTCAGCGTAATAGCATCTGTCAGTGAGGTAGGTTATGTCAGTGTAACAGCAGCTGTCAGTGTAACAGCAGCTGTCAGTGTAACATTAGCTGTCAGTGTAACAGCAGCTGTCAGTGTAACATTAGCTGTCAGTGTAATAGCAGCTGTCTGTGTAACAGTAGCTGTCAGTGCAGCAGCAGCTGTCAGTGAAACAGTAGCTGTCAGTGTAACAGCAGCTGTCAGTGTAACAGCAGCTGTCAGCGTAACAGCAGCTGTCAGTGTAACAGCAGCTGTCAGTGTAACAGCAGCTGTCAGTGTAACAGCAGCTGTCAGTGTAACAGCAGCTGTCAGTGTAACAGTAGCTGTCAGTGTAACAGTAGATGTCAGTGTAACAGCAGCTGTCAGTGTAACACTAGCTGTCAGTGTAACAGCAGCTGTCAGTGTAACAGCAGCTGTCAGTGTAACAACAGCTGTCAGTGTAACACTAGCTGTCAGCGTAACAGCAGCTGTCAGTGTAACAGCAGCTGTCAGCGTAACAGTAGCTGTCAGTGTAACTGCAGCTGTCAGTATAACAGCAGCTGTCAGTATAACAGTAGCTGTCAGTGTAACAGCAGCTGTCAGTATAACAGCAGCTGTCAGTGTAACAGCAGTTGTCAGTATAACAGCAGCTGTCAGTGTAACAGCAGCTGTCAGTGTAACAGCAGTTGTCAGTATAACAGCAGCTGTCAGTGTAACAGCAGCTGTCAGTGTAACAGCAGTTGTCAGTATAACAGCAGCTGTCAGTGTAACAGCAGCTGTCAGTGTAACAGCAGTTGTCAGTATAACAGCAGCTGTCAGTGTAACAGCAGTTGTCAGTATAACAGCAGCTGTCAGTGTAACAGCAGCTGTCAGTGTAACAGCAGTTGTCAGTATAACAGCAGCTGTCAGTGTAACAGCAGTTGTCAGTATAACAGCAGCTGTCAGTGTAACAGCAGTTGTCAGTATAACAGCAGCTGTCAGTATAACAGCAGCTGTCAGTATAACAGCAGCTGTCAGTGTAACAGCAGTTGTCAGTATAACAGCAGCTGTCAGTATAACAGCAGCTGTCAGCGTAACAGTAGCTGTCAGTGTAACAGCAGTTGTCAGTATAACAGCAGTTGTCAGTATAACAGCAGCTGTCAGTGTAACAGCAGCTGTCAGTGTAACAGCAGCTGTCAGTATAACAGCAGCTGTCAGCGTAACAGCAACTGTCAGCGTAACAGCAGCTGTCAGCGTAACAGTAGCTGTCAGTAATATCCTCGACCTGTACATCACAATTATCATCTTCCTGTCTCAGGTCTCCAGTGTTCCGTCTCTCACTTCTGACTTCCCTCGCACACCAACACAACTAACCTCCTCTAACCTCATCAATAATAATAATAATAATAATTAATAATAATAATAATGCAATTATTATTATTTACTATTATTATAATCATTATCGTTATGACATGTTTATTATCATTGTTGTTATTATTGTAATTATTATTTATTATTATCATTTATTATTATTATCATGGCTTCCATGAACACCAGCGGTACTGACATGACCTCCACGTTCACAGTATGATCCTTGCTGGTGTGTGGGCGGCTGTGATCATGGGCGTGACGGTGACTCTACCCCAGGACGCCCACGCCCGCCAGGAACCCACGGGAATCCCAGGAGGCTTGAACGGTGACCTTGGTTTTAAGGATAACCTTGGCTTGAAGGGGAAGCACCCGAAGTTCAAGGAGAACCCTAGCTTCAAAGGTGACCCTGGCTTGCCTAGTGACAGGGGGTTTGACCTCTCTGAGTACGGGAGCTCAAAGAAGGGTCGGTCGCGGTCCAAGAGATATGTCCTAACCTTCCCTCTGCTCTCAACCTTCACCTTCGTCAACAAGTTAAAGATTCCGCTCTTCAGTCAGTTCAGCAGTAACTTCAGTGAGTACAACTTCTGATGTGTGTGGAAGAATCTGTTGTACGTCTTCAATGGTTGTATTGTATCCTGGATGCTCTAGTTGCTGTGTTTGTCAGTGTATTTAACTCTCTCACACACACACACAGGAGCTATGACTCGACCCTTGCAGCCACAGTTAGTTAAGTACACACACACAACACACACACACACAATACACACAGGAAGTGGAATAATCTGGGAAGTGATGTAGTGGAGGCAGGATCCATTCATAGCTTTAAGCAAAGGTATGATAAATCTCACGGTTCAGGGAGAGTGACCCAGTAGCGGCCAGTGAAGAGGTGGGGCCAGGAGCTATGCTTCGACCCCTGCAACCACAACTAGGTGAGTACACACATATATCATAGTGGTCTAAAGCGTCATGCGTTTTCGCTCCTCACTCTCTCTCACTCTCTACACATATATATATTATATATATATATATATATATATATATATATATATATATATATATATATATATTATATATATATATATATATTTTATATATATTTTTTTTTTTTTTTTTTCAACAAGTCGGCCGTCTCCCACCGAGGCAGGGTGACCCAAAAAAGAAAGAAAACAATTTTCTTCTTATTCTTTTTAGTAATCTTTACAGGAAAAGGGTTACTAGCCATTGTTCCCGGCATTTTAGTTGACTTTTACAACACGCATGGCTTACGGAGGAAAGATTCTTATTCCACTTCCCCATGGATATAAAAGGAAAAGTATAAGACCAAGAACTATTAAGATAAAATCAAAGAAAACTCAGATGAGTGTGTATAAATAAATGTGTACATGTATGTGTAGTGTGACCTAAGTGTAAGTAGAAGTAGCAAGACATGCCTGTAATCTTGCATATTTATGAGACAGACAAAAGACATCAGCAATCCTACCATCATGTAAAACAATCACAGGCTTTCGTTTTACACTCACTTGGCAGGACGGTAGTACCTCCCTGGATGGTTGCTGTCTACCAACCTACTACCTACTATATATATATATATATATATATATTATATATATATAATATATATATATAATTATATATATATATATATAATATATATATATATATATAAATATATATATAGGGGAGTTAGTAGATGGGGAGAGGAGGTATTAGGTAGATGGCGAGAATACTTTGAGGAACTCTTAAATGTTGAGGAAGAAAGGGAGGCAGTAATTTCATGCACTGGTCAGGGAGGTATACCATGCTTTTAGGAGTGAAGAAGAGCAGAATGTAAGTGTGGGGGAGGTACGTGAGGCATTACGTAGAATGAAAGGGGGTCAAGCAGCTGGAACTGATGGGATCATGTTAAAAGCAGGGGGGTGGTTGGTACTTTTGTTTAATAAATGTATGAAAGAGGGGAAGGTACCTAGGGATTGGCGGAGAGCATGTATAGTCCCTTTATATAAAGGGAAAGGGGACAAAAGAGATTGTAAAAATTATAGAGGAATAAGTTTACTGAGTATACCAGGAAAAGTATACGGTAGGGTTATAATTGAAAGAATTAGAGGTAAGACAGAATGTAGGATTGCGGATGAGCAAGGAGGTTTCAGAGTGGGTAGGGGATGTGTAGATCAGGTGTTTACATTGAAGCATATATGTGAACAGTATTTAGATAAAGGTAGGGAAGTTTTTATTGCATTTATGGATTTAGAAAAGGCATATGATAGAGTGGATAGGGAGCAATGTGGCAGATGTTGCAAGTATATGGAATAGGTGGTAAGTTACTAAATGCTGTAAAGAGTTTTTATGAGGATAGTGAGGCTCAGGTTAGGGTGTGTAGAAGAGAGGGAGAATACTTCCCGGTAAAAGTAGGTCTTAGACAGGGATGTGTAATGTCACCATGGTTGTTTATTATATTTATAGATGGGCGTTGTAAAGGAAGTAAATGCTAGGGTGTTTGGGAGAGGGGTGGGATTAAATTATGGGGAATCAAATACAAAATGGGAATTGACACAGTTACTTTTTGCTGATGATACTGTGCTTATGGGAGATTCTAAAGAAAAATTGCAAAGGTTAGTGGATGAGTTTGAGAATGTGTGTAAAGGTAGAAAGTTGAAAGTGAACATAGAAAAGAGTAAGGTGATGACAGTATCAAATGTTTTAGATAAAGAAAAATTGGATATCAAATTGGGGAGGAGGAATATGGAAGAAGTGAGTGTTTTCAGATACTTGGGAGTTAAAGTGTCGGCGGATGGATTTATGAAGGATGAGGTTAATCATAGAATTGATGAGAGAAAAAAGGTGTGTGGTGCGTTGAGGTATATGTGGAGTCAAAAAACGTTATCTATGGAGGCAAAGAAGGGAATGTATGAAAGTATAGTAGTACCAACACTCTTATATGGATGTGAAGCTCGGGTGGTAAATGCAGCAGCGAGGAGACGGTTGGAGGCAGTGGAGATGTCCTGTCTAAGGGCAATGTGTGGTGTAAATATTATGCAGAAAATTCGGAGTGTGGAAATTAGGAAGGTGTGGAGTTAATAAAAGTATTAGTCAGAGGGCAGAAGAGGGTTTGTTGAGGTGGTTTGGTCATTTAGAGAGAATGGATCAAAGTAGAATGACATGGAGAGTGTATAAATCTGTAAGGGAAGGAAGGCGGGGTAGGGGTCGTCCTCGAAAAGGTTGGAAGGAAGGGGTAAAGGAGGTTTTGTGGGCGAGGGGCTTGGACTTCCAGCAGGCGTGCATGAGCGTGTTCGATAGGAGTGAATGGAAACGAATGGTATTTGGGACCTGACGATCTGTTGGAGTGTGAGCAGGGTAATATTTAGTGAAGGGATTCAGGGAAACCGGTTATTTTCATATAGTCGGACTTGAGTCCTGGAAATGGGAAGTACAATGCCTGCACTTTAAAGGAGGGGTTTGGGATATTGGCAGTTTGGAGGGATATGTTGTGTATCTTTATATGTATATACTTCTAAACTGTTGTATTCTGAGCACCTCTGCAAAAACAGTGATAATGTGTGAGTGTGGTGAAAGTGTTGAATGATGAAAGTATTTTCTTTTTGGGATTTTCTTTCTTTTTGGGTCACCCTGCCTCGGTGGGAGACGGCCGACTTGTTGACTATATATATATATATATATATAGATATATATATATTATAATATATATATATATATAGTATATTATATATATTATATATATATATATATTAATGTGTATTTTTGAGAGGTTTACGAATTTGTAGTCCTGAGTTCATAGATGAGGAAATATCCAAAATTTATGAAATAGGTATGTTTTAAAATACCCAAGAAATGTAATTGATAAATCTTTTAAAGTTGCTAGAAATACTTTTTACAATCCAAAAAGGGACAACCAGCATTATTCAACTAAAAATATGTTGGTTTCCCTTACCACAAAACTTGTTGATATGCCTTCCTTCTTAAGACTTTTAATATAAAGTTGTATTCAAAAATCTTGATTACAGTAAAAAAACTTTGATAAAGAATTCCCCAAAAATGCTGATGGATGTGTCCTATAAGATTCCTTTGTAAAATTTGCGATAAAGTTTATTACGGTCAAACTGTAAAAATCTCGAACTAAGATTAAAACAACATAAATATAGCATTAGAACTGGACAAGATTCCAATGCTCTATTTATTCATATAAGAGATTTAACCATCCAATTGATTTTCAAAAAGTTGAGAAGTAGTATCAAGCAAGTCCATGGTCGACAGGATATATATTGAATCTTGTTTCATAAAAGCAGTTTTGACAATAAATGAATATTCCTTTGGTTTATATAAATTAGATCCATTTATAATTAACAGAATTTGGGAAGAATTTAATAATACACTGGACAAATAATAATTTTAAAAATTTTCTTGGGTAGAATAGTTTGTTGGTGGGTTGTGTGAAGGACCTGTCCAGTTGGGCCGGCGCGCGTCAGGTGTTTAACCGTTGCGGGATCTGATAGTGAGGTGCTGGCCAGACCCCTTATATACCTTCCTTGGATGCTTTACTTTCATAGTTCCTTGATAATGTGAGTAGTCACGAAAGCGCTTGGAATTTCTCTATTCTTTCACAGTGGTTGTTTTGCATATTCTGAAATCACCTGTTTACTGTGATCTTATTGCATATATATATATATATATATATATATATATATATATATATATATATATATATATATATATATATAATTTTACTAATTACAGGTGGAGTATTTAAAGGGTTTATTCGAGGTATTTACTTGCTGCCCAACGACATAGTGTCAGCTGGCAGGAGCAACATAGATGAAGATCGTCTTCAAACCTACAACTCCATAGAATCTCTGTTTTCTAAGTATGTTACCTTTACTATAATGTTGGTAATTCAAAGATATTTTAATCTGGAAGGATCTCTAATTAGATAGATAAACCCGAAGGGATGACTGAATAAATTCTTGCTTCTTCCTTCAAGGTTTTTATTTTAAAACTTGAGAATGACTTATCCGGTAGGCTTCAAACTTTCAACACTCACTGCTTGTAAAGCGCTTGTGTTTACTTATATAATTTTAAGTATATGTGCTGTATAGCCCTTGTGGCTTAGCGCTTCTTTTTGATTATAATAATAATAATTTAAGTATATGTTTTGTTAATGGGATCTGTGTATTTTGTACGTTACTACTACTATTATTATTATTGTTACTAATACTACAAATTCTAATGTCACTTCTACTATCACTTCATACCATAACTATCATCATATTCACTACCACTACTACAACTACTACTACAATTCCTATTACTATCACAGCTTTGGCATCAATGGAAGAGACTGTCTTCTTAAAGCCATCTGTAAGATGGCTGAGGACCCAACAGATGACTACGGCCTTGTGGGACAACTACTGGGACTATTACTGTCGTAAGTTATCACCTGACCTTCACAACTATATGCATGTTCTGTTGATGTTACTACTTAAATGAATGTTCTGTTGATGTTAGTACTTATATGAATGCTCTAATGATGATCTAAAAACAGTGTCTCTCTCAGGCCTGGCCACGGGCTGAGCACTGCAGGTAAGGAACTGAGGGATCACTGCCAAGCTGAGAACTATGGTCGCAGTGTAGGTAACTGTGACCTTGCATACTCTTCATGTCCCTTCAACCTGGCCGAGCTGCTCACTACAGGACTCTCCCTCCTCGAAGGATCTCTGTCAGGATTCCCGGAGTTGTGAAGTCTTCCCGGGGTCATCAGAGTTAGTCCTCTAGACTCACGATGTCGTAACGACACGATTGTAAACGAAGTTGCAAAGGTAATGAACTGTTTTTATGTTTAAATCTACGACCAGATATAAACATGTAAATAGTTCATTACCTCGGTAACCTGTTCAGTCCCTGAACCCATGATGTACCTCTGTAATGTTGAGGTACAGTCCCTGGACCCATGATGTACCTCTGTAATTTTTTTATTTCCGCCCACACGATGGGTACGGGGTGCATAATAAACATGTTAAACTAACTTAAACTAACGGGAATGTGAGTTTGAGGACTAGCTCGTCATGGTTTCAAGCCCCTACACGTTTCCTGAGCCGATTATTTTCCCTTGAGGGTTCCTAGGGTTCATGAAGCTTACAGGGCTGCCTGAAGACGTGGTGAAACGGTTCGTACCAAGGATCCTTCATTTTCTTGCACCTTTCGCAGGATATCTCAAGATTTACTTGACAAACCTTACCCACAGTTTCTCCAGAACTTCAAACATTTAGGTAACGCTTCACAAGATGTTAAGTAACCCACCTGAGGATCTCAAGTAACCCTCCTGAGGATCTCAAGCAACCCTCCTGAGGATCTCAAGTAACCCTCCTGAGGATCTCAAGTAACCCTCCTGAGGATCTCAAGTAACCCTCCTGAGGATCTCAAGTAACCCACCTGAGGATCTCAAGTAACCCACCTGAGGATCTCAAGTAACCCACCTGAGGATCTCAAGTAACCCTCCTGAGGATCTCAAGTAACCCACCTGAGGATCTCAAGCAACCCTCCTGAGGATCTCAAGTAACCCACCTGAGGATCTCAAGTAACCCACCTGAGGATCTCAAGTAACCCACCTGAGGATCTCAAGTAACCCACCTGAGGATCTCAAGCAACCCTCCTGAGGATCTCAAGTAACCCACCTGAGGATCTCAAGTAACCCTCCTGAGGATCTTTTAGAATTTGTCAAGCAGATTTCTTGAGTTCCAAAATCCCATGACGAACACCTGCAGAGGACCACAAGATTCCTTTCTGCGTTCCGAACACCTGCAGAGGACCACAAGATTCCTTTCTGCGTTCCGAACACCTGCAGAGGACCACAAGATTCCTTTCTGCATTCCGAACACCTGCAGAGGACCACAAGATTCCTTTCTGCATTCCGAACACCTGCAGAGGACCACAAGATTCCTTCCTGCGTTCCGAACACCTGCAGAGGACCACAAGATTCCTTTCTGCGTTCCGAACACCTGCAGAGGACCACAAGATTCCTTTCTGCGTTCCGAACACCTGCAGAGGACCACAAGATTCCTTCCTGCGTTCCGAACACCGAAATCCTCTCTGTATTCTGTGAATACAGGATCTACGACCCCTGACAGTGGTAATCTACGAGGATAGGACTAACGACCCTACATGAAGTACTGTAGAATTGTGAACTTTCTGGGTACCTACAAACATGAACCCAGGGGAACAGTAGCTGCGCCTTCACTTCCTCGTATCAAACCTCATTACCTCCTATTTCTCAGGCATTGTGTGATACCAGCGGAGTTCGTACTATACAGTAATAATAATAATAATAATAATAATAATAATAATAATAATTGTTTTCCATTTTCACCTAATTATATATCTCACAACAGTTTACCTGGAGTTTACCTGGAGAGAGTTCCGGGGGTCAACGCCCCCGCGGCCCGGTCTGTAACCAGGCCTCCTGGTGGATCAGAGCCTGATCAACCAGGCTGTTGCTGCTGGCTGCACGCAAACCAACGTACGAGCCACAGCCTGGCTGGTCAGGAACCGGCTTTAGGTGCTTGTCCAGTGCCAGCTTGAAGACTGCCAGGGGTCTGTTGGTAATCCCCCTTATGTATGCTGGGAGGCAGTTGAACAGTCTCGGGCCCCTGACACTTATTGTATGGTCTCTTAACGTGCTAGTGACACCCCTGCTTTTCATTGGGGGGATGGTGCATCGTCTGCCAAGTCTTTTGCTTTCGTAGTGAGTGATTTTCGTGTGCAAGTTCGGTACTAGTCCCTCTAGGATTTTCCAGGTGTATATAATCATGTATCTCTCCCTCCTGCGTTCCAGGGAATACAGGTTTAGGAACCTCAAGCGCTCCCAATAATTGAGGTGTTTTATCTCCGTTATGCGCGCCGTGAAAGTTCTCTGTACATTTTCTAGGTCGGCAATTTCACCTGCCTTGAAAAGTGCTGTTAGTGTGCAGCAATATTCCAGCCTAGATAGAACAAGTGACCTGAAGAGTGTCATCATGGGCTTGGCCTCCTAGTTTTGAAGGTTCTCATTATCCATCCTGTCATTTTTCTAGCAGATGCGATTGATACAATGTTATGGTCCTTGAAGGTGAGATCCTCCGACATGATCACTCCCAGGTCTTTGACGTTGGTGTTTCGCTCTATTTTGTGGCCAGAATTTGTTTTGTACTCTGATGAAGATTTAATTTCCTCATGTTTACCATATCTGAGTAATTGAAATTTCTCATCGTTGAACTTCATATTGTTTTCTGCAGCCCACTGAAAGATTTGGTTGATGTCCGCCTGGAGCTTTGCAGTGTCTGCAATGGAAGACACTGTCATGCAGATTCGGGTGTCATCTGCAAAGGAAGACACGGTGCTGTGGCTGACATCCTTGTCTATGTCGGATATGAGGATGAGGAACAAGATGGGAGCGAGAACTGTGCCTTGTGGAACAGAGCTTTTCACCGTAGCTGCCTCGGACTTTACTCTGTTGACGACTACTCTCTGTGTTCTGTTAGTGAGGAAATTATAGATCCATCGACCGACTTTTCCTGTTATTCCTTTAACACGCATTTTGTGCGCTATTACGCCATGGTCACACTTGTCGAAGGCTTTTGCAAAGTCTGTATATATTACATCTGCATTCTTTTTGTCTTCTAGTGCATTTAGGACCTTGTCGTAGTGATCCAATAGTTGAGACAGACAGGAGCGACCTGTTCTAAACCCATGTTGCCCTGGGTTGTGTAACTGATGGGTTTCTAGATGGGTGGTGATCTTGCTTCTTAGGACCCTTTCAAAGATTTTTATGATATGGGATGTTAGTGCTATTGGTCTGTAGTTCTTTGCTGTTGCTTTACTGCCCCCTTTGTGGAGTGGGGCTATGTCTGTTGTTTTTAGTAACTGTGGGACGACCCCCGTGTCCATGCTCCCTCTCCATAGGATGGAAAAGGCTCGTGATAGGGGCTTCTTGCAGTTCTTGATGAACACAGAGTTCCATGAGTCTGGCCCTGGGGCAGAGTGCATGGGCATGTCTTTTATCGCCTGTTCGAAGTCATTTGGCGTCAGGATAACATCGGATAGGCTTGTGTTAATCAAATTTTGTGGCTCTCTCATAAAAAATTCATTTTGATCTTCGACTCTCAGTCTGGTTAGCGGCTTGCTAAAAACTGAGTCATATTGGGACTTGAGTAGCTCACTCATTTCCTTGCTGTCATCTGTGTAGGACCCATCTTGTTTAAGTAGGGGCCCAATACTGGACGTTGTTCTCGATTTTGATTTGGCATAGGAGAAGAAATACTTTGGGTTTCTTTCGATTTCATTTATGGCTTTTAGTTCTTCCCGCGATTTCTGACTCCTAAAGTATTCTTTTAGCTTAAGTTCGATGCTTGCTATTTCTCTGACCAGTGTCTCCCTACGCATTTCAGATATATTGACCTCTTTTAGCCGCTCTGTTATTCTTTTCCGTCGCCTGTAAAGGGAGCGCCTGTCTCTTTCTATTTTACATCTACTCCTCCTTTTTCTTAGAGGAATAAGCCTTGTGCATACATCGAGTGCCACCGAGTTAATCTGTTCTAGGCATAAGTTGGGGACTGTGTTGCTTAGTATATCTTCCCAGCTTATATCGGTTAGGACTTGGTTTACTTGGTCCCACTTTATGTTTTTGTTATTGAAGTTGAATTTGGTGAATGCTCCCTCGTGACTAATCTCATTATGTCGGTCTGGGGCTCCGCGCATACATGTCGGAACCTCGATTATGTTGTGATCTGAGTATATTGTTTTTGATATGGTGACATTTCTTATCAGATCATCATTGTTAGTGAAGATGAAGTCTAGTGTATTCTCCAGTCTAGTAGGCTCTATTATTTGCTGGTTTAAATTTAATTTTGTGCAGAGATTTAAAAGCTCGCGTGAGTGTGAGTTTTCATCAGAGCTGCCTCCTGGTGTTATTACTGCAACAATATTATTTGCTATATTCCTCCATTTTAGGTGCCTTAAGTTGAAATCCCCCAGGAGCAAGATGTTGGGTGCAGGAGCTGGAAGATTTTCCAGACAGTGGTCAATTTTTAACAGCTGTTCCTGGAATTGCTGGGATGTTGCATCCGGAGGCTTGTAGACTACCACAATGACTAGGTTTTGGTTCTCGACCTTTACTGCTAAAACTTCCACTACATCATTTGAGACATTTAGCAGTTCTGTGCAAACAAGTGACTCTGCAATGTACAGGCCAACCCCCCCCCCCTTTTGCCTGTTCACTCTGTCACATCTGTATAGGTTGTAACCTGGGATCCATATTTCGTTGTCCAAGTGATCCTTTATGTGGGTCTCAGTGAAAGCCGCGAACATTGCCTTTGCCTCTGCAAGCAGTCCACGGATGAAAGGTATTTTGTTGTTTGTTGCTGGCTTTAGACCCTGTATATTTGCCAAGAAGAATGTTATCGGACTGGTGGTATTGTTGGTACTGGGGGGGGATTTTTTTTTCCGGCATTAGTATCTGTATCTGTTGGTTTGGAGTGGAGGCCATCGACTGTGGTTCCACTCCAGGAATGACTGGATTTGGGTGTAGGATTTCTGCCATTTCCTGCCAGTTTTTTTTTCCTTCCTGGCACTAAAAAACCTCTCCCTCTTGAGTGGCTGTGGCTACCCAGGTTTTCCCATGGCCTGGATGTTTTGTATCTTTTTGTCCCCTTTAGATGGTATGCCTGGCAATTTAAGTTATAGCACAGTCTTTCCTGTACTGAAGAGGTACACAGTTCAGGGTGAAAAAGCTTACAGGAAGGGAGTTTGCATTTTCCTGTTGTCATATGGGCATGGCATTTTCTAGGGTGGTCATAGTTGCACGTCCCATCTGTTTTTCCAGATTTCCCATGCCCGCAGATACCGAGTGCATAGTATGTGCACAGGCTTGGTTTTCCGTTTGCCTTGGGTTTCTGTGACTGTATTCCCTGTTGGTGCATGTTCCCTGTCTTACTTCTATCCTCCCTAGCACCAACAATGGAGCTCCCACCAGTTGTTTTTGGTAATATATCCTCACTATTGCTAGTGGAGTCCTCTTGTTTGCTATTTCCTGCGGTATTTCTAGTTTGCAATATTGGTTTTATCTTATCTTTGACTACACTTGTTTCCCTACTATGGCTCCTGTCCCCTATGAGGTCATTTATATGTATTCCTTCCTGCGTATAATTCCCGACTACCTGGACAAAATCTCCAGCTTCACCATTACTGTCTCCCAGGACAGCATCTCCAGCTTCACCATTACTGTCTCCCAGGACAACATCTCCAGCTTCACCATTACTGTCTCCCAGGACAGCACCTCCAGCTTCACCATTACTGTCTCCCAGGACAGCACCTCCAGCTTCACCATTACTGTCTCCCAGGACAGCACCTCCAGCTTCACCATTACTGTCTCCCAGGACAGCACTATCAGCCCCACATTTACTGACTACCAGGACATCATCTCCAGCCTTACAGTTTCTGACTACATGGCCAGTATCAAGGACAGTAGACCAACACCCAGGATGCCACCCACAACAGTAGACCAACACCCAGGATCCCACCCACAACAGTAGACCAACACCCAGGATGCCACCCACAACAGGAGACCAACACCCAGGATGCCACCCACAACAGTAGACCAACACCCAGGATCCCACCCACAACAGTAGACCAACACCCAGGATGCCACCCACAACAGTAGACCAACACCCAGGATGCCACCCACGACAGGAGACCAACACCCAGGATGCCACCCACAACAGGAGACCAACACCCAGGAATGCCACCCCACAACAGTAGACCAACACCCAGGATGCCACCCACAACAGTATACCAACACCCAGGATACCACCCACAACAGTAGACCAACACCCAGGATCCCACCCACAACAGTAGACCAACACCCAGGATGCCACCCACAACAGTATACCAACACCCAGGATGCCACCCACAACAGTAGACCAACACCCAGGATCCCACCCACAACAGTAGACCAACACCCAGGATGCCACCCACAACAGTATACCAACACCCAGGATGCCACCCACAACAGTAGACCAACACCCAGGATGCCACCCACAACAGTATACCAACACCCAGGATGCCACCCACAACAGTAGACCAACACCCAGGATGCCACCCACAACAGTATACCAACACCCAGGATGCCACCCACAACAGTAGACCAACACCCAGGATGCCACCCACAACAGGAGACCAACACCCAGGATGCCACCCACAACAGTAGACCAACACCCAGGATGCCACCCACAATAGTATACCAACACCCAGGATGCCACCCACAACAGTACAACCAACACCCAGGATGCCACCCACAACAGAGACCAACACCCAGGATGCCACCCACAACAGGAGACCAACACCCAGGATGCCACCCACAACAGGAGACCAACACCCAGGATGCCACCCACAACAGTAGACCAACACCCACGATGCCACCCACAACAGTAGACCAACACCCAGGATGCCACCCACAACAGTAGACCAACACCCAGGATGCCACCCACAACAGTAGACCAACACCCACGATGCCACCCACAACAGTAGACCAACACCCAGGATGCCACCTACAACAGTAGACCAACACCCAGGATGCCACCCACAACAGTAGACCAACACCCAGGATGCCACCCACAACAGTAGACCAACACCCAGGATGCCACCCACAACAGGAGACCAACACCCAGGATGCCACCCACAACAGTAGACCAACACCCAGGATGCCACCCACAACAGTAGACCAACACCCAGGATGCCACCCACAACAGTAGACCAACACCCAGGATGCCACCCACAACAGTAGACCAACACCCAGGATGCCACCCACAACAGTAGACCAACACCCACGATGCCACCCACAACAGGAGACCAACACCCAGGATGGCACCCACAACAGTAGACCAACACCCAGGATGCCACCCACAACAGTAACCAACACCCAGGATGCCACCCACAACAGTAGACCAACACCCACGATGCCACCCACAACAGGAGACCCACACCCACGATGCCACCCACAACAGTATACCCACACCCAGGATGGCACCCACAACAGTAGACCAACACCCAGGATGGCACCCACAACAGTAGACCAACACCCAGGATGCCACCCACAACAGTAGACCCACACCCAGGATGCCACCCACAACAGTAGACCCACACCCAGGATGCCACCCACAACAGTATACCCACACCCAGGATGCCACCCACAACAGTAGACCCTCACCCACGATGCCACCCACAACAGTAGACCAACACCCAGGATGCCACCCACAACAATAGACCAACACCCAGGATGCCACCCACAACAGTAGACCCACACCCACGATGCCACCCACAACAGTAGACCAACACCCAGGATGCCACCCACAACAGTATACCAACACCCAGGATACCACCCACAACAGTAGACCAACACCCACGATGCCACCCACAACAGTAGACCAACACCCAGGATGCCACCCACAACAGTAGACCCACACCCAGGATGCCACCCACAACAGTAGACCCACACCCAGGATGCCACCCACAACAGTAGACCAACACCCAGGATGCCACCCACAACAGTAGACCAACACCCAGGATGCCACCCACAACAGTAGACCAACACCCAGGATGCCACCCACAACAGGGTTGTAGTCACAGCACCAGAACCCTGCTGGTGGTGCTCCATCTCTTGCTTTCATTCCTCCTCGTTGCTTCCTTTTTATCACTGTGTTTTATAATCTATTACGTACGCTTTAATACGAACAATCATCACTAGTTACAATAAAATTAATTTTGTTTCATATTGTCTTTATTAATATCGTATAAAAATATATAAAAATATATCTACACTATATAATGTATATAGTGAAGTGGAATGTACTTTTATGATATACATGTTGAGACGTGATGTGCTGAGATCAGCTGGTGGTAGTTGTGGTGATGGTGGTGGTGACTGGTGGTAGTGTGTGATTGATGGTGGTGAGTGGTCGTGGTGATGATGGTTGAGGTGGTAGTGGTGATAGTTGTACTGTCTCAGATCAATCTCAGCCACAATAGAAGCTTCCCACTGATAGCTGGAAGGTCCATCAAACCCAGAGCAGACAGCTCAGGGTTAAAAACAGAAAAACATCCGAAGCTAACAGCATTAACAGAGACCATACTAATAGAAACTAACAGTAGGTACTTCATTCTGAGAGCAGTGAGGCTAACACTGCTTCAGATCTCTCTCTCAGCTGTAGTCAGTGTCTTATTGTAACTTAACATGTGTTCTGAGAGTTGTAAGGGCTTTTGTAACAGTGTTCTTGAGGACGCGCACAAACAAGCGTTTGAGTGCTGTCAAGATTGAACGAAGCAGCAGCAGCAGCAGAACAGTGAGTGTCAGTAGAAAAGCAGCAACATCGAGTAGCAGGTATTGGTAGAGTGGCATGTCAACTGCTGCAGACCGCAGGTGTTGACCACCGCCATAACGTAGCACATGTTCAGTCCAGTAGACAGCTGTGTCCAGTGGTGGAGATTGTTGGTGACGCAGAAGCTGTGACCTCTCCATCACTCTCTGTCTGTATTGTTTCTCCTCCACCACGCTCCTAATAGCCTGGTACACTCCCTCCTCCGTCAGGCTATCCAGACTGAGTTCGACGGCCACACCTGAGGCCACAGCCTGACGAACGTTGAGGTGTTGGTCACTCATGATGGGCAGTCCTACCAGTGGAACATTGTGGTAGACAGCCTCCTGAAGTGACAGCAATCCTCCGTGGGTGAAAAAGGCGCGTACCCGTTTGTGTGCCAACACGTCTTGCTGTGGCAGCCAGGGCGGGTCATTACATTAGCTGGAAGGTCCGCAAGGGCACCGCCCTCCCACTTCCACAATACTCGGTAGGGAAGACGACGGAAGGCAGCCATCAGTGAGTGCAACACCCGGGGAGGAAGTTGTTCGCTGCGGATTGATGAGCCCAGACTAAAGAGCACCACAGGTACGGTAGAAGAGTCCAGGAAATGTCGAAGTTGGGCATCCTGTAGGGGGCGGCCTGGGCGGCAGTGCATACCACCCACCTCCACCACGTTGGGTAGCAGGGGGCGTGGGTGCCCCAGAGAATAGTGAGAGTTGACTAAGACCAGTGACACGTTCTTCTCCACCTCAGACAGTGACACTGATGGGTCTCCCAGGAACCTCTGCACCACTCCATCCAGTCTGTTCATCACCAATTGTTTCCTCAGATACGGACCAGCGATTCTGTAGGAATAAGAAAAGAGAAGTTAGTGTTTGTTGATGGTTTAGTGTTATGGTGTGTATAGTGCCACGTGTATTACACCCACAGTGCCAGAGACAATTCCCTTCCACAGCAAGGGAGACCCACAACTCACCTGACGAGGGTGTTGACTGTGCGTTGCCAAAGGCTCATGTGGGCACCGTAGGTGAGGTACTGGTTGGGTATGTAGGAAGGGTTTTTCCGGGTTGCCCATAAGGTCTGCTGTCCAAGGGGTGAGACCCGAGGTGGTGACATAGATGAAGGGCGCCTTGAACTTATGAACTAGTGCCAGCCCACACTCGTTCATGAACGCCGGCAGGAGGATCAGGTCTGGCTTGCTGGTCCAGGCGGTCTGCACTCCAGGGTCACGCAGAAAGGCGTCACAATACTCTGGCAGATTACGTAGCACTTTCTTCATTACTTCGGAGTTCACGTCTTTCCCACCGTTAGCTTCTCGCATCTTGAAGACATTGAAGTCGCCCGTCACTTTACGGATGGTCTCCCAGGCGTCGGAGGCTACCAGGTCGGTGTAGGAGCGGGAAGAGTTAGCAGGACTGGCGTGAAGTGAAGCAACTATCACCTGATGTCCACGACTACCCAGAGCCTCGGCCAACGGTATTATTATGTTCTTGTGAGACGAAGAACCCAGCGGCAGCACCATCAGCACCCGGGACCCTTCACTCACACCCACCAGTGCAAGCATCACCAGCACCACCTTAGCCAAGAACCTATCCTTAGCCATCTTATATCCCAGTAGAATGTCAGCGCCAACAAGTGGCAAATGAGTTAACTCTTGTAGTTGCAGAGAGAGCTGTTAGTAGAGCCAAGTAGCAGTAGTATAATGTTTGAAGCATTGCTTGGAGGAGGTTATATACCCGAGCAGGTAGGGGCGCCTCTGCTGCTTATTGGCTACACGTTTTCCACACCACCACTTAATATCTACCAATGGCAGAATAATGAACTGGTTTTCCTGTTTGTCTCAGACTTCGTGATAGCAACGGAGAAAGTTACAGAGCAGGAAAAGATAAGCTAAAACCCTTTATCACTCGAGTGCAGCCTATTGTCCCATAGTTACGTCAGCCTCCTGAAACTACACAACATTATGATTTAGAAAGATACGTTAGTAAAACACGTGCGTTTTAAAACCAATTTATCGGTAGCCTGGTGGCTAAAGCTCCCGCTTCACACACGGAGGGCCCGGGTTCGATTCCCGCCGGGTGGAAACATTCGACACGTTTCCTTACACCTGTTGTCCTGTTCACCTAGCAGCAAATAGGTACCTGGGTGTTAGTCGACTGGTGTGAGTCGCATCCTGGGGGACAAGATTAAGGACCCCAATGGAAATAAGTTAGACAGTCCTCGATGACGCACTGACTTTCTTGGGTTATCCTGGGTGGCTAACCCTCCGGGGTTAAAAATCCGAACGAAATTTTATCTTATCTTATCTTATCTTATTACCATATTCTCCGACATTATAAACGGAAATGTTTAAAAGCTTAAAAATATATAGTAATTTAACAGTTAACCCTACTGTTTATTTCCAGTCACTGCGTTTCCAAGGTATACAAAAACATCAGAGATCCATTAGAGTGCACAGAATTTCGAGCAATTAAGTCACTGTCCAGGAAGGACCGATACACTGTGGTCTGAACTTCATATCCACTGTGTGTTAGTTGCGTATTGTTGTAGTCACTGTATTGTGTTAGTTGTGTATTGTTGTAGTCACTGTATTGTGTGTTAGTTGTGTATTGTTGTAGTCACTGTATTGTGTTAGTTGTGTATTGTTGTAGTCACTGTATTGTGTGTTAGTTGTGTATTTTTGTAGTCACTGTATTGTGTAAGTTGTGTATTGTTGTAGTCACTGTATTGTGTGTTAGTTGTGTATTGTTGTAGTCACTGTATTGTGTGTTAGTTGTGTATTGTTGTAGTCACTGTATTGTGTGTTAGTTGTGTATTATTGTAGTCATGGTATTGTGTGTTAGTTGTTGTAGTCACGGTATTGTGGGTTAGTTGTTGTAGTCACGGTATTGTGGGTTAGTTGTGAATTATTGTAGTCATGGTATTGTGGGTTAGTTGTGAATTATTGTAGTCATGGTATTGTGGGTTAGTTGTGAATTATTGTAGTCACGGTATTGTGGGTTAGTTGTGAATTGTTGCAGTGTACAGCAATATTACAGCCTAGAAAAAACAAGTGATACAGAGGGAGTCATCATAGGCTTGGTGTCCCTCCAGTGGTATATACAACTCCTTGAAACAACTGTTATTTAGATTATACAGATGCCACAAGACAATATTCTAGTATAACTGAGCACAGATCAATTATATACGACCCAGAAAACTCCGTAATCTGTCGATATGTAAAAAAAAAAAAAACGTTAATTGAGAAGTAACGGCTATCACCCAGAAGGTTAATGACTTATATCAAAAAAGAAAAACCAGTGAGGTATTTTGAGTGACCAAGAAAAGTTCCACATTTTAAAAGATCACAGGAATTCTGGTGTTACAGGGAGATTCGTATGAAGCAAGTATAATCCAGCACCAAATTCAAGTGGACTTCCCTGCATCAGTCTCACCCAGAAGGCCATCACCGCTCTCAGATACCACACAAACTCGATTAAACGAAGTGTTTTTATCTTTTTCTTGTATCTGCCGAAGAGGACCTCAGATTGAGATTGAAATATACAGACATTCTTCTGCCTTAGCTCCTTAAGCGACACTCTAGACGACTCAGCCACAGATGCCACAAGAAACTGGGCAGCCTGGTTACAAGCCTTGTTTCTTCCTAGCCCCGGGTACAACAGTGGGCCTCAGACACATCACAATCAGGCACATCATATCAATGCGCCACGCAGAAACAAGCGGGTCTATCTCCATATACACCTTGTGCTTGTTTCTGCGTACTGTATTGATATAAAATCGCTCGTGTGGTCAGAAAATACAGGAGAATGAAACAGATTGTAACGATGCTTTGAGGCTAACTGATCTGCTCGAGGCTTGTAACCATGTCGCCTAGCTTCTTGTGGCTCAGTGGTCTCGAGTGTCAACTGGAGAACCTTGTCAGACTCCCCTGATGTGATTTCGAACCCTGCTGACTGTGTTCCTTCTCCGTACATACTTTCCTTTGTTTCTGGGTGCTAACTCATCCAGGAAATTCCACAGGATCCCATTCCTGGCGATTCCCACATAATATACGAAATTTTAATTCAAAGTTTGTGAAGAGTGTAATTAGGAGTAAAAATAAGTGAGATAACTGGGCGGCATGACGACCCGTGGAGACGTATCAATATTGAAGCAATGTTTCCTGGAGTTATCCCTCGTAGTGGTCACATTTTTTGTTAATACTGTTATCGTGTTGGTCAATGTTTATCACATTTGATGAGATGTTTATGTTGTAACATGAAGGTAGTGGAGGCTTATCACCACCACCACCATGCTGTCTCCACCATCACCATGCTGTCTCCACCACCACCATGCTGTCTCCACCACCACCATGCTGTCTCCACTACCACCATGCTGTCTCCACCACCACCATGCTGTCTCCACTACCACCATGCTGTCTCCACCACCACCATGCTGTCCCCACCACCACCATGCTGTCTCCACCACCACCATGCTGTCTCCACTACCACCATGCTGTCTCCACTACCACCATGCTGTCTCCACTACCACCATGCTGTCTCCACCACCACCATGCTGTCTCCACCACCACCATGCTGTCTCCATCACCACCATGCTGTCTCCACTACCACCATGCTGTCTCCACCACCACCATGCTGTCTCCACCACCACCATGCTGCCTCCACCACCACCATGCTGTCTCCACCACCACCATGCTGTCTCCACTACCACCATGCTGTCTCCACTACCACCATGCTGTCTCCACCACCACCATGCTGTCTCCACCACCACCATGCTGTCTCCACCACCACCATGCTGTCTCCACTACCACCATGCGTCTCCACTACCACCATGCTGTCTCCACCACCACCATGCTGTCTCCACCACCACCATGCTGTCTCCACCACCACCATGCTGTCTCCACTACCACCATGCTGTCTCCACCACCACCATGCTGTCTCCACCACCACCATGCTGTCTCCACTACCACCATGCTGTCTCCACCACCACCATGCTGTCTCCACCACCACCATGCTGTCTCCACCACCACCATGCTGTCTCCACCACCACCATGCTGTCTCCACTACCACCATGCTGTCTCCACTACCACCATGCTGTCTCCACCACCACCATGCTGTCTCCACCACCACCATGCTGTCTCCACTACCACCATGCTGTCTCCACTACCACCATGCTGTCTCCACTACCACCATGCTGTCTCCACCACCACCATGCTGTCTCCACCACCACCATGCTGTCTCCACTACCACCATGCTGTCTCCACCACCACCATGCTGTCTCCACCACCACCATGCTGTCTCACACCACCACCATGCTGTCTCCACTACCACCATGCTGTCTCCACTACCACCATGCTGTCTCCACCACCACCATGCTGTCTCCACTACCACCATGCTGTCTCCACTACCACCATGCTGTCTCCACCACCACCATGCTGTCTCCACCACCACCATGCTGTCTCCACCACCACCATGCTGTCTCCACTACCACCATGCTGTCTCCACTACCACCATGCTGTCTCCACCACCACCATGCTGTCTCCACCACCACCATGCTGTCTCCACCACCACCATGCTGTCTCCACTACCACCATGCTGTCTCCACCACCACCATGCTGTCTCCACCACCACCATGCTGTCTCCACTACCACCATGCTGTCTCCACCACCACCATGCTGTCTCCACCACCACCATGCTGTCTCCACCACCACCATGCTGTCTCCACTACACCATGCTGTCTCCACTACCACCATGCTGTCTCCACCACCACCATGCTGTCTCCACTACCACCATGCTGTCTCCACTACCACCCATGCTGTCTCCACTACCACCATGCTGTCTCCACCACCACCATGCTGTCTCCACCACCACCATGCTGTCTCCAACCACCACATGCTGTCTCCACTACCACCATGCTGTCTCCACCACCACCATGCTGTCTCCACCACCACCATGCTGCCTCCACCACCACCATGCTGTCTCCACCACCACCATGCTGTCTCCACCACCACCATGCTGTCTCCACCACCACCATGCTGTCTCCACCACCACCATGCTGCCTCCACCACCACCATGCTGTCTCCACCACCACCATGCTGTCTCCACCACCACCATGCTGTCTCCACTACCACCATGCTGTCTCCACCACCACCATGCTGTCTCCACCACCACCATGCTGTCTCCACCACCACCATGCTGTCTCCACTACCACCATGCTGTCTCCACCAACACCATGCTGTCTCCACCACCACCATGCTGTCTCCACCACCACCATGCTGTCTCCACCACCACCATGCTGTCTCCACCACCACCATGCTGTCTCCACCACCATGCTGTCTCCACCACCACCATGCTGTCTCCACCACCATGCTGTCTCCACTACCACCATGCTGTCTCCACTACCACCATGCTGTCTCCACCACCACCACCACCACCACACTGTCTCCACCAACACCATGCTGTCTCCACCACCACCACCACCACCACCACACTGTCTCCACCAACACCATGCTGTCTCCACCACCACCATGCTGTCTCCACCACCACCACCACCACACTGTCTCCACCATCACCATGCTGTCTCCACCACCACCATGCTGTCTCCACCACCACCATGCTGTCTCCACCACCACCATGCTGTCTCCACCACCACCATGCTGTCTCCACCACCACCATGCTGTCTCCACCACCACCATGCTGTCTCCACCACCACCATG